AAATTCCCACCCATAGTTACACGCTTTTGCCATGCAATTCAACACACACCCTTTGACAAGAAAGTCTGCTGTATGAAGAAATAAGAAGCTTTTGTTAGGGGTGTTTGTGATGAATAAATACGTGTATAGGCTGAATCCTGTCATTTTTTGGGCACTGGAGTTCTTCCCAGTAAGGATGGCAAGATGTTAAATGAAAAGAAGAGTAACTTTGTTGTATGAGTAAGATAAGCTAAACTAGAAAATGGATGTATTAAAGGCAGTATTTGCAGCAAGCCAAATATTTTCGAGAACAAAATCAGGTATTCTGACATACACATTTCGTGCAGGGATAATTATTGTTTGCATAAGATCATGCAAGATTATGTTTTTATAAATGATTAGATGTTTTCTTTGTAGGCTAATAACATACTTTCTTCTGCAGGTCGAGGTTATGACGGTAGTGTGAAGCCAAAACTGAATGTAAATCAAGCAGCAATTACACAGGTAATGTTTGAAGGAACTGGATTTGTGAATTTTTCTTTATAGCACATTGATATCTTTAATGTGCTTTATTGAATTAAATAATATATTGTTTACAAGAAATAGCCAACAAAACTGTCTAAATCATTGTGATGTGGTACTGATTCACCACCTGCTGTACAAGGTATCTTCTGCTTTTCTGAGAAGTGCAGTGAGACTTCAGTTGCTGTCACTGGTGCTGACTGGCAGTGGGTTTGGGCACAGGGTCTTACTGAAAGAACCAAATCCTATCATCCATATTCTGTACAATGCCATTTGACTGCTGCAACCAGTAATTTGCTTATATCACTTGGTACTAAAAGAATAGCTGAAACAAAACTGCTGATTGTTTAAAATTAGTGGGAGTTTTTCCTGAGTCCAGCCTGTAGGTCTTGTCAAAAACAGCATAAAAGGCTTCCTTATCAAAAACCTGCAAATGTTGCAATCTAATGTGAATAATCTGTTGATTAAATCTCTCTCATCTGTACTTCTGAGAAGCCAGCCTTATCATTATACAAATGACAGTGATGGTCAGCATTTCTTGCCGGCTGTTGCATCACGTTTTCTGACCATGCTTTCAGCTTGTTGCTGCGAGTACTTACTAATTTTAATCCTAAAGCAGTCTTGTGCCATATGTAAGGTCAAGTATCAAAAGGGGTCTTTCAGGGTCTAAGCTGGGAGATGTGATTTGCTAATCTGAACAGAAAAAAGAAATCTCTCTTTAAGCCAAGACGAAGCTTTGGGGCTTAACACGTCCCTTCTGGAGCCTTGTAAGGTGCTCTTTATGACTGGGACTCAGAATACCTCTCTTTGTACGTGATTTGAACTTGCTTAATCATATGACATGCAAAACAGCCATGCAGACATTGTATATGTTATCACATTCAGATAGGACATATGTATAGATGGAAAAGAGTTGGTGTCTGGAGATTTTAGTTTGAAATATGGAAATGACAGTTAAATTTTGAAGTAATTTCTGAGCCCTGACTCACTGTCTCAAGTTATATTGCCTGACAGCCAAATTGTCCTCCTTTTGCTATGAAATTTGGCTTAGAAGGGATAGCCTTTTTCTAATGTCTACGGATGTCATGGAAGCTGCAGTCCCCATGTTTTAATCTTGCAAACAACTGATTTTGTAAAGGCAGGGATCCATACTTGAGTTATCCTTTTCTGCAGGAGGCATTTTCCCGATTTTAAAGCCATCGGGAGCCAAACTGTCTGCAGGTAGATGTAGACTTGGACATTTCTTTCACCTCGACAGCTGCCTAGTGTGCTTTCAGTGTGGTAGGCTCTGTCCTTGACCAAAGCTGAGTCCTCTTTATTGTGTTGAAGTGATTCTTACAGGTGTCCTAGAGAGTGTTCTGCTGGGGTGAGCACCTTGTGATTCTGGCTTTGTTTCAATTTTTTATATTGGGCAGCTCTACGGTGAGATGGGAGCATGCTAAGAATGTGGCTTGCCCCAGTGATACTACGCTAGTAGAATAAATATAACTTATATTGGCTCTCTGGCCAGTTGTGCTGGAGCTAGAGGTCTGTATGGTGCCACTCCTGTGGTGGGAAGGGGTTGTTAGCCAAAGATTTCTCTGCTTCCTCAGTTCAGTACTGCTGCAGCTGAGAACTGACTCCACAGATGCTCTCCAAGTGCTGGCCTCATTTATTCTGGTAGGATGGAGAGTAAGTCCTGAAATACGCATCTTCTGATACTGATCTTTTATGTGGTCAATCAGGTTGTCAGCTACAACTTGAGCAGGAAAGGACAGTGGGAAAGAGCATCCTGGAGGCCATTCAGCCACAGCCCTCTCAACGTCACGGTTAATGGTGTCCCCTGCATTCTCTTCTGGGCCAAGAGGATCATGATTAAGTTTGAAAACCACACACAGCTGGATTTGACGGAGAAGACATTTGGTGCCCATGCAACAGTGGATGTTGGAGATTCAAACTGCAGTGAGGACAATGCAATGTAAGGTTGCATTCTACTCTGCCAGTGGAACCAGTCCCAGATAACAAGTCTAGTAAATACATACTGAAGGAAACAGACCTTGTATTATGTGTATGTATTATGTAGAGCCCCAGGGACAAGCTCCTTCCTATAATGTCCTGATGTTGCAGGCAGTAGTACAGCGTGGGTTATATCCTTTCAGACCAGTCTTTCATGGGGCACATGGATGTACATAGCTGTCTTCACCTTTTGTAGTGGTGTAGTCAGTCCTTGTGGCCAGCCAGTTTTGCTCTTAGTACCTGTGAGGCTGAAGCTGTTGATCTCTTTAGTCTCCGACTGTTTTATGTAGCTGCTTGGGAGATTGAATATTGGATCCTACACTGAATTTGGGGGCTTAGGGGCTGGCCATGCATGACTACTTATCCCTTTGTAGGATGTGTGTCAGCAGTAATGTAAACCATTGATACAAGATGCAGATGTGTATTTAGAAACAGAGCTAGGTAGCCCCAAGTCCTAGGATGTGATCCATGAGTTGCTGAAGCTGAAAAGTGAATTCACTACACTCAGTTACAGACCTGAAGAGTCTCCAAAAACCTGAACTCTGCATCCCAGTCTGTCACGAATTTCTTCAGCATGACAGCACAATGGTTTGCTCCTTCTAAACCTGGGTGACAGCTATATATTAATCTAACTGGATCCAAAATCCTCCAATCCCATGGCCAGACTAGGAAGGCACATAGGTTTTTTGATTTCCTTTGCAGTGTACCTGACCACTTCTCTCCCTCCATGTAGTATGCTGGCTGGCTTCGTGTCTAACACCAGGTCATTGATTCCACTCTGGTAGGCAACAGTCCAAAAATTAGGAGGTGGATGCCTAACTGGACATATGCTGAACGCACGCATTGAGTCTACCCCATAAGTGGAGTTTAAATCTGTAACGACATGCAAGAATAAAAATAACATGACCAAACCCAGCAGTTTCATTTAATTCCTGTACAATATTTCACCTGTATGTCTAAAGATGTTTCCACAGAAAGTGTTACCTCTTTCTGATTATACATCTGTGAAGGATAACTCCAGGTGCACAGAAATTTTAGTGAGGTTACAAGAAAACTAAAAGCATAGTAGAAAAAGAAGCCAGGTTTTCTACCTGTGGTTCATAGTATTCAACAAGGTAGCCTGAGTTTTACATCATCAGCATGTGAACTAATCCGGCACTATGTTTTGAAAGGCAGAGGTAGAGAATGGAATAATATTATTTTAAAAATAAAAAATAATAACAAACATTCCTTCTTCTGTTCTGGTCTGCAATTCAGAGATAATCTTAGTCTTATTAGTAATGATTGTAATCTAATAGAAAATATACTCCTGCAAAAGTAAGGGTTTCAAAACATGAAGTGTAGTTTTATAGCTGTTCGTAAGGCTTGAAACATCAGAAAGACAGTGCAGTGGTGGACTGCAAACTCCTACTGGAGCTGCTGTTTGGAGACTGTTAGATTTGAGCAGGCTACTCTGTCTACCTGTCTGTCACTTGTGCCTCTGCAGTCTGGTTACAGTAGTGGATGCTTCATTCTGTAAATAGTTCTAAGAAATTAGGACTTGTCCTGGCCCTGGCTGGGAGGGAGGTAATTCTCTTGTGTTTTGGGTCTGTGGTTAAAACAGTGTTGATAACACACCAGTGTTTTGACTCTTGCTGAGCAGTGCTTGCACAGCGGCCAGGCTTTCTGTGTTTGTCAGTCTGCGCCCCCAGCGAGTGGGCTGAGGTTGGCAAGAGGCTGGGAGTGGACAGTCCTTAGACGGGTGACCCAAGTTGGCCAAAGTTTTATTCCCTGCCATATAACGTCATGCTGAGCAATAAAAACTGGGTGTCTTCCAGGGTGACCATTGCTCAGAGATTCACTGGGCATTGGTCTGCTCATGGAAGATGGTCAGTGATTGCCCTTGCAAAACTTTGCGGTTTTTTTCCCCCCTCTTTCCTTCACTTATTAAACTCTATCTTGACCTATGAGTTCTGTCTCTTTTGCTCTTCCTATTCTCTCCCCTGTCCTGTTGTGGGGTGCTGGGGGACTAAGTGAGTGGCTGCATGGGTCTTAGCTGCTGGCTGGGGTCGACCCACCACAGGGCTTTATATTCTGCTTGATGTATTATGATGGAAGATATTTGGGAATTTATAGAACACATTATTCATTACAAAAGCTGCAGGAAGAGTAAGGAACGAGAACAACTCTACAGCATACCCTTGACATGCCTTTTATGAGTGTTTCACCATATCTGAGGTTTGATTGCAAAATCTGTGGGTCCAGATCTCATCTGCCATGTCTTCTGATCTTTCTCTTTGTTTCTCCCATAGTTTTCTGTGTAGCCTAGAACTAGGGACACAGCTGCTAAAGTCAAGCAGGACCCTGATGCTTAGTTTGAAGCTGAGGCTGGCATTTTTTTCCTAGGGTCAAGAGACGTAGTATGACTACTGAGCCTTTTCTCCTCTTTTCTGCGGAGAGAAGGAGGAAAATGCTACCCTTTCCCAAAGATTTTGCTTTCTTGCATGTTCTATACTTTGTTTATTTGGAATACACTGAGAAATACTAGTCCCACTGACTCCTGCCGTTTGAATGTGCTCCAGAATCCTAACCAAGAAAGTCCTGTCTTACTCTGAGCTCTTGCTAGGAGGGATTTGTCAGGACATTTGACAGACTGCATGAACAGTTCTGTGGCATCTCTGCTAGATTCTGTGTATCAAGTCATTAGAAATTCTATGTTTCAAGTATCCATTCATCCATTGCCACTGACAGCACCAAAGTACCAATTGAAGCCCCTATATGTAGAAATCATGCTCTACAGATAGGAAAATGGATAATGCTACAGGTAGGAAAATGGATAATCTGGGCTCATGAGTCAGCGTAATTGCCAAATACAAGTCGTGTGTTAGATTTTCAGTCAACCTGCATTTGACTGTTGCAGAGAAGTAAGGGAAAAACTGGCTTGAATGTTGCTCTGTAATCTCACATTTAAGGACTGACCCAAATTATAGAATCATAGAATCACAGAATCATTTAGGTTGGAAAAGACCTTTCAGATCATCCAGTCCAACCATTAACATAACACTACCGACTCCACCCCTAAACCAATTAAGGGGAGAGTAATAATTAATTTCATGTTTCCTGGCTTGGTGGCTGGATTATTTTTTAATGGAAGTAAAACTAGGAATCATTAAGGTTGGAAAGGACCTCTAATATCATCAGTCCAACCATTAACCCAACATCACCATTCCCACTAAACCATGTCCCACAGTGCCATGTCTACCTGTTTTCTGAACACCTTCAGGGACGGGGACTCCACCACCTCTCTGGGCAGCCTGTTCCAATGCTTGAC